ATGTGAATTATATTCCAATGAACACTTGTTTAAACATCTGCTTCAAAAGATCTCTTTAAAAATCTTTAAAAAAGCAAAGCTGTCACTTTAAGATTAAGGTGTGCCTGACCCAAGGCAGGGTGTGTTCAATCATCTCATATGCACATGAAAACTGACTTGTGGAAAAAGACGACCAAAGAATTGAAGCATTTGAAAGTGGGCGTGGGTAAGGAATACTGAATGTAGCACGGACTGCCAGGAGTATGAGCAAATCTGTCTTGGAACAAGTGCGGCCAGAATATGAGGCTTAGCAATGGGGAAGGGAAGACTTTGATCTCACTCACTTTAGAAAGGTGACCAAGAGGGAGAACCACATCATGCTTGGTAACGTAGAGGGCCGGTGACCAAGAAGACCCTCAAGGAGAGGGATTCACACAGTCACTGGACTAGGAGTGCAGACGTAACGACTACTGTGAAGATGCACAGGACTGAGCAACAGTACACATGGGGTCGCTAGGAGATAGAATCAGCTCAGGAGCATCTAATAACCACAGTCTATTCTAAATCCCCTTTTCGAGGTCCTGCGCGGTGCCTGTTGGTAGCAGGTACTTGATGGGGTTTTCTTCTTTGGTGAATTGACTTTGTGGGCCTTGGTTCAAAAGAGCTAGCATAGGAGATGATGAGCCCCAGGTGAGCTGCCCAACCCAGTGACCTGTGGGCCCTTGACCCTGCGAGCTACCAAGCTGCCGGGCTGTGTGTGTGATGGGAGGGGGCGGGGTGGTGGGGGTGTTTGCCATGTTTCCAAGGACATTGGCAGCCACCAGCCTGTGATCTCCCTGTTTCTGGCTTAAGCTTTCTGCATCATCGGCCTACGGCTACCTGAGTCAGAAGAGGGCCCTGGCTTCTTGCCGCAGGCTTATGGCCTTTAGTTGGACTGGGGTGGGATGCCTTCTTAGTATAAGATTACTTCTTAATATAAAACTCTTTCTTATACATATAGGCGTGTCACTGGATTTGTTTCTCTAGTTCGACCCCACCTGACACATCATAGGAGTCATTAAGATGGTAAGAGAATCAGTTGGAACCAAGGACCTGTGGGGAAGAGTCCTGTACCTGGGGCGGTGGTGTGGCATCAGCCCCCTAGCCCGTTTCTTTGACCCATCAGGACCTTGGGGGTGCATGGAGCTGCACCTGGGAGCGGCTGAGCACAGGGCAAGATGCTTTCTCAGGCTCCAGCTCACCTTTGGGCATACCTCCAGACTTTTCGGGAGCTCTCCCACCTTTCTTCTTGATCTTGGCTCATTTGGAGGACACATGCTGTGTGAAGACCAGGGCAGCCTCATCTCTTCCTTGGTATTCTCCTCTTTCCTGCTGCATCTGGTGAGCTGGCCTAGGCCCCCATCCCATGCTGTGGTCTCAGGCCTCCTTCAGGGCTCAGCCCCGACGATCTTTCATTCGGCCCAGGTGCCTTATTTGAATTTCCTCCTTGAAACAATTACAGAATGAGTATTGCTTACAGGAGCGAGCCCATGTGTCAGCTGGAAGGCACCAGAGGAACTGCAGCCCATGCAGGGGCCAGAGACCAAGGCTGGATCCTGCTCTGACTCTCTAGGCTTAGTGGCTTTGCACCTCCAGCTCCTACTTCTGTGCCCTCTCCTTCCTGGGAAATGCAGGGCTCTGAGGTCCCTTATCTAGTGCTTCCCCTATTGTTATGATAACTTAATCCACAAGGTCTCCAGAGATCCACAGGTCCTGCATATCTCCGCCCCAGGCCCCTGATCCAGGTGAGGCCCTCACCTACTTCCCAGCCCAGCCAGCAGAGACAGACAGGTGCTTTTCTTTGTATCTCGGTTCCAAAGTCCTCACATTGGCTGCACACCTGTTGGGCATGCCAGGAACAGTACATGCAAGGTAAGGATGCCTTGGGCTGACGTGGTGGGTAGAGAGGAACGGGATGGACAGTAAGTGAGGCCGGTTCCAGAGCCTTTCCCAAAGAGCCCACCCAGGAGGAAGGAGCATCAGTTCAAGCAGAGCTGGATTACATGGCAGGGAAGGAGAGCACAGAGCAGAAATAATGTCAGTGTAAGAAATGGAGAACAAAACAATTTATGATTTTTTTATAGTCAGAGGGTAATTGGAAACATCTCACCTTTTCTCGAAATCAATGAAATTCGAGCTTGAGCTTTATCCAAAATGACCAATAACAGTACGAAGGGGTGATCTTTCCTGAAGACGACAGAAATGAGCAGAAATGAAAGACCCCAACAGCCTCCGAATTATACCCAGGCAGAAACCCCAAATAGGCACCAAGTGACGACCCCCCGGCCCTCTATGGGGCAGCAGTGGCTGGTAGATTGATTTAACACAGCAATAAATACCAAGTCTGTCTCCCAAGTGTAAAATAATTATCTCCCTGCCATGGGGTTGATGCTGACTCATAGTGAGCCGACAGGACAGGGCAGAACTGCTCCTTTGAGTTTCTGAGACAAACTCTTTATAGGAGTAGAAAGCCTCATCTTTCTCCCAAAGAGTTGCAGGGGGCTTCAAACTGCTAACCTTGTGGTAAGCGGACCCAGGTGTAACTACTTACGCCACCAGGGATACACAAAAATAATTATAGGAGGGATTTTCTTCAAGAGATGGAGGCAGCTGGGCCTGAAGAGGGATACTAGTCAGAGTGTAGGAACTTCCTCTCTGTCTGCCGCTCCTGCACTAGGCATACGTGGGCCCTTACCTCCCTGGGGATCTGGCAGGCAGTGGGAGGCCTGGCAGTGCGCAGTGGCTAGGCACTGACAAACCCATCAATCACCCTGTGGGAGAACGATGTGACCCCGTGGAAACCTTATGGGGCCGTTACATTTTGTCCAAGACGGTGTTTGTTGTCACGGTGACTCAATCAATTCAATAGCAACAGGGTTTTTTGTAATTGGTCGTTTTGTTTGGGTTTTGATTTAGGAGGAAATTGTTTGAGAGGGCTAAGCAAGATGAGTGGAACATAGGGCCAATGAGCCATCTACCAGGCTGTGAGGACCCCATGCTGGCAGCATAGGCCATACCACCAGCCCGGTCACTGGGCCTGCCAGAGAGCTCGGGACCTTTGACAAGAAAACCCAACCATCGTAAATAGTGCTTTAATGTGATTGAACTATGGAATGTTATGTTAGCTGTAAGAGTTCCCAATAAAATTCTTTTTTAAACAGTGCTTGATTGCATTTTTCTGGGAACACATGATCCTAATTATGACTCAGGTGGCCAATGGTTCAGCCCCAACTGTGATTGCCCTATTTCAAAACCCTCCAGCCTGCTCTGTTCAAACCTCCATCATTTGTAAAGAATTCCCTTGTGGTACCTGCCCCTGGCTGGAAACATGCCCTCCCCTCGCCCCCCACCCCCACCCCCCCAAGATCATCCTGTGTGTCTCAGAGAGGAACTATGCCCCATCGGCTGGGATCTTCCGGAAGCGGATCGCCTGATCTTTCTTCCAAAGAGCTCCGGGGGTGGGCTCTTTGTTTCGTAGCCACCAGAGCAGCGTGGGATGGTCGGGGGAAGCAGGCGCCTGACCCTATCCTGAAGTTCCCATTTGTCAGGGCTCCTGCCCTCGCCAGAGGTGCGGGGGAGGAGTCTGTAAATGCAATGACTGTCCACCAGGCGGCGACTGGCGTGGGCAGGGAAGGTGAGAGCAAAGACCATTAGCCTGGGGGTCAGTCCACGGGCCCCAGGTGAGGAGCCCAGGTGAGGGAGGAGCCTGCGTGCACCGGTACTCTCAGGAAGCAGAATGCTGACACCCAACAGATGGAAAGTGGTGGTTGGAGCGCATTTAGGACTAGACCAAGGGAGCACTCTCCCGGCCACCTGCGCCCTCCACTCCAAGGCGGCCGGCCCTGAGCGCACCACACGCATTTACTAGTGCCCCGCCGCCCCCAACCGGCACCCCCTGGGAATGGGGGCCCACGAAGGCGCTCCCACAGTGATCTACAGGTTGGAAACGGTCTGAAGTCACTCCTTTCGCGCCTGCCTTTCCCACACTCCCTGCAGCAGCAATCGACAAAGAGGAAGGGAAGGGGCGGGCTAGGAGCTGGAGCGGACAGCTACTTTGTGGCTGGGCTACATTAAGGACAGACATAAAACTGCCATTTCAGCTCCCAGTGCAGCTGGCTGTCGCTCCCTTGAATGTACAGAAAGATTGGGGGCGTGGGGCGGGGGAACGTGGTGAATGGGTAGGAACTTTTCCATTTCCTATTCGAATGGAGCGAGGCTGACAGCCAGGAAAGGAGACTGGGTGGGGGGTGGCGTAGGGGGGTTAGTTTTCCGGCCGTCGTTTGGGGGGCAACGACCCCGGCGGCTGCTCAGAGGCCCCCTATCTCAGCCCAGTGCTTTGGGGTGACTGTCCAAAGGGGGGGAGGTGGCCAAAAGGGTCGCTATGGGAAATCTATGAGCATCTGTCTTCGTTGGGAGATGAGCCGCTCCAGCGCCAAAGGCGGTCGCTATTGGGAATCTGTCCAGGGGGCAGTGGGAGGCAGGCTGCCCACGGGTCGCAGGCTCCAGGCTTCGGGAGTGCCACGGGGCTACGCTCCAATGTT